GCCCGAGCCGGAGCCCGAGCCGGAGCCGGAGCCCGAGCCCAAGCCCGAGCCCGAGCCGGACGCGAGCGCAGAAGGGCTCTCCTTTTTGCCGAGCTCTGGGAAAGGGTTGGGAATGGCCGGCAGCGACGAGGTTTTCAACTGCTGGTCTTCCTCCTGCAGGCGCCTGGGAGGAGAGATGACCACTGGTTAAAAGCTGCCGCCCGACACGACCCGGCAGCCCCACGCAAGACACAGAGGCACTCGGATAGGTCAGTAAATACGGGGTGGTCACAACAGGACTATTCACAACAGTCAAAGGCAGAAGCAACCCGCGTGTCCATCGACGCATGAATGGATGGCAAAATGGGGTCCATCCATAAAGAAGGGATAGTATTCAGTCTTGAAAAGGGACGACATTCTGACACATGCTATGACATGGATGAGCCTTGAGGACACTTTGCTAATTGAAAGAAGCCAGTCACAAAAAGACAAATCCTATATGAGCTCACTCCTCAGCAAACTCAGAGACACAAAGTGGAAAGTGGGTGCTGGGGCCCGGGGAGGCCAGATGGGGCATTTGTGTTGAATGGGGACAGTTTTAATTTTGCAAGATGGCCAAGTTCTGGAGATTGGTTGAATGACAATGTGAAGATATGTAACACTGGAACCGTACCCTTAAAAATGGTCCAGATGGTCAAGTGTATGGCCTGTGTATTTTGCCACAATTAAACACTTTGAAAAAACTACCATCTCAGACTCAAAGGGGAAAGGTTCCCCCACCCACTGCGCACACGCCCATCGCAGACGGTGCCGTCAGCACTTCTGTTCCAGGAAGACCTGCCATGCGAGAGGTTTTGTGAATAAGGGCATTTTCACGAGCATAACAACTGCTTTCCGATGACCTTGAAGGAGCACTTCTCTGACCCAACACAAATGTTCGCAGAGACTTCCTGCACCCTCATCTCAAAGCTTAGTGACACCGAGAGGCCGCTGCGACTGGACTAACCGGAAGGAAACGCTGCCGTGGCTGTCCACCCTGAGCACCGGAGCCCGGGCCTGTGCCCTCCCGGGAATGCCCTGCTGCGCCCACTCCACCACCGAGAGCCACTTCCTAAGGGCGCTGCACCGCCCTCTCCTTGGCGTCTCTCCAGAGCTCCCTCCTCCCGGGAACACAAACCTCACTTGTCATACAACCAAGCAAAACATACACAGATGATGAATCAGATGTAATTAGGAAAACAGCAGAAAAATCAAGTTCAAAGTGAAAGCGAGAACAGTGCAAAGTGCCCTGTGTTTCCTCGCCCCAGGGATCCTGCGGGCAGCGGCGGCCCACAGGCACCGGGCTCTGCTGGGAGGGAGCCCGAGCTCTGTCCAGGCGCTGCCCTGCGGGGCTGCCTGGTCCCTGTCCCCGCTGGGCATTCCCGTCCTTCTCTGCACAGACCTCGAGGGGAACCGCTCCTGGAGACTGTCTGCCCATCGCTCTCTCGCTAATTTTACAATTTGGCTACACAAATGGTCCATTCGCTTTCTTGCGGGGGGGGGGGGGGGGGGGGGGGGGGCGCTGCCTGGGCTGTCCCCGCTGGGCATTCCCGTCCTTCTCTGCACAGACCTCGAGGGGAACCGCTCCTGGAGACTGTCTGCCCATCGCTCTCTCGCTAATTTTACAATTTGGCTACACAAATGGTCCATTCGCTTTCTTGTGGGG